TGATGTACCAGACGTGCTGGACCTTGTTTCATCGGGTACACCAGCACCTTCCATTCCTCCGGACTCAAACCAGGGATGATGGGTCTTATCTTACTGCTAGCTCGGTTTTCTTCCTCTTCACTCGTTAGATTCACTGAGGGTCTTTTAACTGGAACTGAAAAGACTTGGACATCTCTCTCTGTTTTCCCGGATTCGCTCTCTCTAAAGACAGACACTTTCTCCGTCTCTTTAGAAACGCTTCCTTCTAAAGGATGTTAAGAATACATCTATCTTCTCTCTCTCTTTTAACACCTCAGGTCTTTCTACTGGTTTCTTCTCCCTTTCACCATGAACCGGTCTCCTGTCTCCTCCCTCTGGTCTATCTAACGGTCTCAACTGCTTTTCCTTCCTCTCGAGCTCTTTCTATTTTCGTCTCGCGACTTTCCTCTACCACTTCTGCTTGTCTTTTTGCCTCGGGTTTCTTTGGTTTTTCTGATTCTACCTCAATTACCTGAGGGGACGGCTCATTCTTAGTGGTCTCTCTATTCTCCTCCTCACAGGTGGATAAAAATCAATGATTTTTTTAAAAAATCAAATTGATTTAAATCATTGTTTAAATCACTATGTAATAAACATCAAAAATCCATTTTTAATTTATATTGTAAATTAAATTGATTTAAATCACATCTACCCTGGAAACAATCAATAAAATTCAATTATCATGGACATTTGAGCCATGTCAAATACAGTACATACTCTTTCACCATGCTTTCATATAACAATTACCTCTCGTTTTCGCTGCTCCTTTTTAAGCTGCGCAATCTCTCTATTTCTTCTAGATTCATTCATCCTAGCTTTCTCTTGTTCTTCCTTCATTTGCTTCATCAAGCGAACCTGTATAAAATGTTTTTCAATTAGCTTTTAAAAACCACTATTTTAAAAACACATGCAGTTCTTTGCATTCATTTTATGTTTTTGCTACAAGTGTGATACTCCTCTCTCACTTTTACTAATACCTCACGGTAATTACTCTCCTAACACTGTTTTTATATTTAAAAAAACAATACATTAAAGGACAAAGCCCTATTCACCAACTATTTCAGTTTCAACAGTTCAGGAGTCAATTCAAACAGCTGTTTACCAAGTAATAACTAATCACAGTGGATCAATAATGATTGATCAGTAGTGTCTGTAGCATGTTCTCACAGTGGGAACACCAAACACCATCCCCAAACAAAAGACAGTACACAAGGAAGCAACAGAGCTGTAGAACACCTGCCTCACCATATGTGTGGAATAATTACTATATATAACAGGTTTCTCTAGGCAACAATATCTCGCACTAATCTACCACTTGGTAAACAGCTACCTGTATCCATACTGAAAGGATGACTAAAAGAATAATTTTAGTTGTCAATTCACCAATTCATTAAACCATGCTTTCCAAGCAGGGAAAAAATTGTAGAATATTTGAGAAAGCAGTTCACCTTTCAGACAGTTCCATACTGTATAAAGAAATGTGTACCTTTGTTTTCTTCATCTCTGCCACATCCTGCTGCAACTTTTTCAATTGTTTTTCATATTGAGATTGATTTTTAAGTAAACGTGCATGTTCTTTCTGGGCAGCCTGTAGCCTCTGCAGTTCCTTATTCATTGACTGGAGCTTCTTTTCATATTCTGTTTTAATCTTTTTTGCTTTTTCTTCTGAACATGTTTCTACCGAACCTAAACAACAACAGTGGATTTCTCAATCTATCATACAATTATGTATATGTTCAATGCCTGCCATTCACTGCCATTATTTTAGGTGCACATCACCTTTCCATTTTTTGCTAGAGGCCCTGGGTTAAAATTCCTGAAGAGACGACCACTCCTGGGGAAGGTGTGTGTGAAATTTTGCCACACGAGGATTAACCCAATTTGTCCTTATAAGGAGTGCAAAGTCAAACTGAGAAATGGAAGAGTCACAGGCGTCAGTGAACTCTATAACTGAGGAGCCTGAATCAAGGTTTCCTAATCTAAGGCTTTACATTGTTTCTCTTAGTCTATTTTATTAAAATTTCTATCATAGCACCTGGCTCTTAAAATGCGCTCAAGGCGACTTATATATAAAAGATGGCCAACCTTCCCCTTCTTACCCAGGTTTTGAAGCACCTGATCTCTTTCAAGTTGAGTGTCTCGAATCTTGTGTTGTAGCATCATAAGCTTTTCCTCATACTGCCTTTTCAAGGTCTGAAGTCGCCGTTGGCTATTCTCTAATTCATCTATCAGCTTCTGTTTTATGGCAATTTCACATGTGATGTTTGCCAAATCAGCCTGATAATGTGCTGTAGTTAAGAAGAGAAAGAAAAATAGAAAGAAGACTAACACATTGTAGCAGTCTACATTTATAGACTCAAAGGCATATGTGCCTTAGATACAATTGTGTTTCAGATATGATTGTTCATTTAAGCAAACTTATATTTGACAGATTACTATGTTTCAATAGCTGAGTAAATATCCTCATCATAGAGGCTTAGCATAAATTTCAGAATTCTGGAATTAAAAAGTCCAGTAAGGGAAGTACCAAAAGGGTTTCATATATTTCATATTAGTTTTTCCAAAGGCATTTAACACATTTCTAGGATCAAATCATCCAAACAAATAGCTTTTAATAGGGGTAACTGATGGCATTCCCACCAATACATGACTGCCTTTCGTGGCCTTTGCTAGCATCACACTATAAAAAGAATTAGAATTCATGGATCCACCAACAAACCACATGGCAGGGAAGGCTGCAACTGAAAAGGAGGGTCAGAAATTATTGCAAAGATCATATTTCAGTGTGGAATGGATTAGTTGTAAATGTCTTGTTGTGTAAGAAAACAGAGGTATACAATTTGAAACAAAATGTACCTTCTAATCAGTGTAGGCTTAACATATCCTGTACTGGTTACATAAGTGTTAGAAGTAAGTTAAGCAACACCTTGAAAATAGCTTGCAAAAGGACATTTTAGAAAACCAAAAATTCTTGCCCAAAGAATCTGAAGTATATTGCTGCAGGACATTTGCAAACTAAAGATGCACCTATGCTCCCACATTATGATCTAATTTATGAATGAGCCAACAGTGATATCCCCCAGCCTATTTACCCTAACAAAAGGTGTGAGTATACAGTGGAGAAAAATGGGAATGGATCCATTATGAAGTCACACCCTGGACGTCAGGTTTCCCTAGGTTAATCCACTTCAGACCACACAGGACTCAGCAGGGATTCGAAGGAAATCACTCTTGTTTGCAGCTTGTTAACAGTTTGAATCCTCTCTTTTCCAAACCTCGTAACTGTGTTAGATTCTTTATTTCTTTCTTAGACTTGCTGTCCTAACACTAGGACAGCTAGGTGACCAAACAGAGAGAAAAAAGTGAGGAGGAAAGAAACAGAATTTTTTCAGTTCAGCCCTGTTTCCAGCTAGTTAAAGTAACTCTGCTATGCTCTGGCTGTCCAGATTTGCCATGGTGCTACATTAGTAAGTCTTTAAAAGGAAAGAAAGGAGGAAGGAAGGGAAGGGAAGATTAAATAGGAACAGGTGTGGGAAGAAGATTCAAATGGCAGCTAGTTTCCCCATTGTCCTACCTCTCTCAATGCTGCTGTAGCTGGCCAGAATGGCTTTAAATACAACAGCTACAAACCCCTCCACATCAAAAATAAAATAGAACAGAAAACCAGCAGCAGTGAAGGAAAATAGAGATTACAGGAGTAAAATTCCAGGATGATTCCCTTTTTTATGTCCTGTAGACAGTGGAAAATAACGTGAATCTGATCATCCCAACCTCAAATCATTTCCCGCACTATTTGTCAACGTAGCTGCACTCTCAGAGATGGGTAGGTATTTGTAGATTACAATTATTTAATTTTTTTGTCACCTTTCTCATCAGAATCAGAATCTGATTCATCTGAGCTTTCAACAACTTCCATGTCATCCTCTTCTTCTTCTTCTTCTTCATCCTCATTTTCATGATCGCTAACATCCTGACCATCTTCCTACAAAATAACAACAGGAAAGGAGTCAAAACAGCAAGTCCTCTCTAGGGCATTTACTTAATACATAAAGTATAATTCCAATTTAATTTGAAAATGAACATCATCTGTTCTGTTGATGCGTAGAGATGTTTGGCATTAAAAAAACCCTATAAAGCAGAATAACTATGACAAAATTAATCATATATATGATGTTGTTCTTGTACTTACACATTTATGTCTTCTTCCTATTGTTCTCCTGAGTTAAGCTCTGAGTATTAAAACTCAGAGCTGAACAACAGGAAGGAATAACACCATTTGCATGGCAATTACAAAAAGCTGAAGCCTTAAACTAAGGTGGGAAGTTTTTAGTTGTCCTTAAACTTTTGGCTTCAATGGCCAGAAATACCAGCCATCAAAGCTATTATTAAAAATTTAAGGAAACTGTAGACCAAATACCTACATGGGTTCCTCACCCATACCTTAGAAATTAGAAGCTTTTTTAGTAATAATTAGCAGGAGTATTAAGGAAATCAACCCTGAGTGCTCACTGGAAGGACAGATCCTGAAGCTGAGACTTCAATACTTTGGCCGTCTCACAGGAAGAGAAAACTCCCTGATGTTGGGAAAGAGTGAAGGCAAGAGGAGAAGAGGACAACAGAGGATGAGATTGTTGGACAGTGTCATTGAGGCTACCAACATGAATTTGACCAAACTCCGGGAGGCAGTGGAAGGCAGGAGGGCCATGGGGTCACAAAGAGTTGGACATGACTTAATGACTAAACAACAAGAACAAAGGGGGAGTATTAATGTCACAATACTTACTGTTTCTAGCTCTTGATTCTCTCTTTCAGAAATACCCTTTTCTTCCTGTTTCTCCTGTTCATTATCTGTGGTCTCCTCTTTAACGGTACTACGATAAGAAACATAGAAGGTTGAATATCTGAAAGGGGCTCTTTCCTTCTCAGCACAAAGCAACAGCCTGCCTAGAGAACTGCCACAACCTAGTGCTTTGAAAGCAAGAGAGATGATCGCAATAGTCAACGTTTCAGCTACTCCGTTCCAGAACTTAGGAAAGCTGTTACTTCCAGCTATGCATCTCAGCATCCAAGCTCTGCTCTACTCATATCAAAAATATGCAAAATCAAAAGACTTGGCAACCGCAAAGGAAAACACAGATCCCAAGCAAATCCCCGCAACCCCATGCATAAAATGCATTGTGGAGACCTAGATACAAGGCAAAACAGACAGGCAGTGAACTGCAAATGGGAAGAAGGATTGCATTGCAAAGCTCAGAGACAAGGCAAACCCACCCACTAGGAAGACTCTAAAGAGCTGTTGAATGATTCTGTCTACATCATGCCAGAGCAGTTTAAAGTTAAGCTGGGTGTAAAGAACAGCAAGAACCACAAAGCCATGATAAGAGGGATCCCAAAGGAACTGTCCATAAAATAGGTATGTCCCACTCACATAGAAGGATTTTTCAGGACCAAGACAAAAGATGCAGCCTGAGCCTCCCACCAAACATACATACACTATTTGGTTATAGTGCATGTTGTGGAAAAACTACCAATAAGCATAAAAACAGCATCCTGAGAAATCAAGTGTAATAGGTATTGCAACACACACAACAAAATCCTATGCACAGTTATTCAGACATAGGGCACACTCAGCTTAATGAGGCATAATCCTTACAAAGGACATTTAAATATTCTGCTTTAACCATGGATTAGCAAATGCCATATGGGTTATGAGTTCTTCAGTGTTGTCATAATCCTTACAAAGGACATTTAAATATTGGATAAGCAAATGCCATATGAGTTATGAATTCTTCAATGTTGACCCTTAGCAGTTTCACAAACATAGCTATTATGCAGGCCCCCAAGCATTAACTCTGGGGAAAGTGCAAATACCTAAAGTTGTAAGAATATTATACTGGAGAGGTTGCTACATGGAAGTCCCATAAAAGTGCTTTGGAGCAACTTCTAGCATTCACCAGGGTTAAGATCATAAGACAGTTTGTTACTACAGCTGTCTGAGATTACCATTGTCCTAATGGGAAGAGGGCATAATTTTGACTGTAGACCTAAATAGTGTGATGTGGCTGCAAAAAAAGGTAAATGCTAATTTAGGCTGCATTAACAGAAATATAATCTCCAAATCCCATGAGACACTACTTCCCTTCTATTCAGCACTGGTTAGGCCTCATCTTGAGTACTGTGTCCAGTCCTGACCAGTGCACTTTATGATGGATACCAACAAACTAGAGCAAGTTCAGAGGAGAGCAACAAGGATGCACAGGGGACTGGAAACCAAGCCCTAGAAGGAAAGATTCAAAGAATCGGGCATGGTTAGCCTTGAGAAAAGAAGACTAAGAGGAGGTATGACAGCATTTTTCAAATAGTTGAAAGACTCTCATATAGAGGAGGGGCAAGATCTGTTCTCAATCATTCCAACTACCTCAGGAGGTGGTGAGTGCTCCAGTACTGAACACATTCAAGAGATAACTGGATAACTACCCATCAGATCTGCTTTGATGTGAATTCCTGCACTGAGGAGGGTGTGGATTCAATGACTTTCTAGTCCCCTGCCAACTTCATTATTCTATGATTTTGTGCCTAATAAATTATAAGACTGGCCCTCTTTGCAGGTCCATTAAATCACAAAATCCTTTAACTCAGGGGTCCCCAACCTCTGGTCCACGGCCCACCGCTTGTCCGTGGCCTTGGAAGGACCAGGCCGTGGAGACAGATCTCCCACACCCCCACGTATGCACGACCCACCCACCTGCACTCATGGGTGCCCCGCCCCCTGTAAGCATGTCCCGCCCCGCAAGCGCGCCTTACACCATCTGCACAAGCGCACCCTGCATCATCTGCACATCCATGCAAGTGCGCCTGGGGCCCCGCACCATGTGCACAAGCACACCCAACCCCCTGCTAGGATGCCCCCGGCCATCTGTGCATGCGCACAAGCGCACCCCACACTCTGTGAACAGACCCCACACCCCCAACTGATTTGCGGGTCGGGAAAGGTTGGGGACCACTGCTTTAACTGTTACAACTGAAGAGTCTTCACCTTATTAGAAACCCAATTCATCCAAAACCATTAAAATTTCATTCTCTTTTGAGAACAATTATTCCTAACAGTAATGTCCTTCAGTTCACTCTGAATGTATTATTCCTACAATGGTTCCTATCTATATTTCAAAAACTTGAATTCAATTTTTTAAAAAGTAGGTTCAATAAAAAATTATCTTATCCTATCCCATCTTCCCCCATTTCTAGCCACCAACCCCTATTTTGTTAGATCCCATTATGTGCCACATGTCAAAAGTAGAGATGGGGTATTCATATCCATATACAAATACCCCCCACAGATGGTGTTAACAAGGGTCAAGCCCCAAGGGGCTGGACAGTCATCTTACCATTCTGCCGTGGAGGCAGACGGTGTGATTCTACCAATGGCTCCACGGTGGGTGATCCGCTCGCCACTCCTGGCAGGGGGCGAAGGACAAGCCTAGCTGCAAGGTCGAAGAATGGCGAGCAGATTGCACGTGTATACGAATACCCCCTCTCTCTAGTCAAAAGTAAAGATGTTTAATTTAAAAGGGTGATGTCAAAGTTTCAAACGGCAGATTGGTGAAAATGAAAAACCCAAGTACAGTTCTGATACACGGCATACTAATTTTATGGTGTCAGTACATCAGGTTACAAAGAGGCTACCACTAAGCTCTAACCTCTGTATTCTGACAAGAATATGTTGACTGTAGATCAGAGACTTCCAGTATCATGACTACAAATCTGCCCTGTGCTAATTACTGGAAGCCTTTAAATGTTCCAAGCATGAGTGGCATCACAAAACGTAGCATCTGTCCATTTCGAATAAAACTATGGGATATAGTTTTATTTGAACTATGGGAATAAGTTTGGTGAGGAATTAAAGCATTCAAGAGAAATGGAGAATGTTGAACTGAAAGAATTATTTTACTTCACTGTAGGAATTGCAATAGATATGGCTATTAAAAAAAGTTTTGCTTGTATATTTCAATTAATTTATTATTTGCTCACTGTACCTATACACATTTATGATTACAGATGTACGGCAATAGTGAATTTCAATCAGGTTCATGCTGCCCTCAAGGCTTCATGCAGTCCTTTGTGCTGTAGAGTCAAAATGACTGTAATACAGGCTTAGCTTTCGGGACTTCTATCCATCTAACCGGCTAAGCTGTGATGATGTAGACGCAATACAGTAATTCACAGCACCTTAAATAATAAATGCCTAACTCCCTCTGTCACAAGATAGGATAATGGAGGCACCACTTGCTCTGAATGAGTTCTATTCAGAAATCCATTCCCATCAACAGAACAGTTAATCATACTGAAGCTGCAGGATTAGGCTTGTGCGCAATGGATTTTTGTGAGAGCCCAACGTGCCACTTCTGTTTATATAATCTCAACAAACAGAAAAAAAATAATATTGCCCATGTCTGCCACTGTTTTTTTATTAGCAGAGTTCCTATACTTTGAAATGCTGCATGACGAGCAAAATTTCAACCTAGAAAGCATGTCACTGATCTTCTGCTGGCCACAGAACCGCAAAGGGGCAAATTCCCTGACAGGAAGGGGTAGCATATTCCAGCTGATCCCTGCAGTTCCACCTAGCAAACAACATGAACCCACTGAGAAGAAAACCGTTACAACACGACACAGCATTTTTCACAGGTGCGTCTTCCATTTTCAACTTAATACAAAACCAACAATACATAAAACAAAGGGCGCAGATGAAGAAAGGAAGCTCTCTTCCCAGTTGCCCATGCCTAACTGGAGTCCCAACCAATATGTCCTATGTATTTCTTGGAGCACTTCCTGCCTATTAGAAGTAGATTTGAGAGGGTAAGAAGAGGGAATCCTATCCCTTGTGCTACTTTAAGCTGGGCACTCTGTGTTAATGTGCCACAAGAAAACTCTACTAGGCATACTATTACTATTTTAAAAAGAAAGAAAGAAAAGAAAATTCAGAAGAAACTCACTTCCTGATTGAAAATGAGACTGAAAAGGGCTGGCCACTAAGAAAATGAAATACAGTGGTGCCCGCATAGCGACGTTAATCCGTTCCAGGATTAACGTCGCTATCCGGATTCTTCACTATGTGGGAGGGGAAAACCCATAGGAACGCATTAAACTTTAATGCGTTCCTATTGGGGGAAAACTCACTGGTAAGCAAAGAATCCCCCATCCGGCCGCCATTTCTGCCGCCTCGGTGAGGGGCGAAAACGCTGCGGGCGGCCATTTTCCCCCAGCTGGGCGGCGCTTGCAAGCGCCACCCAGCTGGGGGGAGAAGGTTCCGTAGAGGTTGTTCTGAAGGCAGCACCGCCCAGCTGGGCGGCGCAGCCTTCAGAGCAACCTCAGCGTCCACCGCCGGCTCTCGGAAGCAAGCACCGCCCAGCTGGGGGGAGAAGGTTCCGAGTACCAGCGGTGGACACTTCCTTGGAGGTTGCTCCTTCAAAACAACCTCAGCATTCACCACCGGCTCTCGGAAGCAGGCCCCACCCAGCTGGGGGGAAATGGGGCCTATGGGGAAAAATTGCAAAGTGATTTTTCCCCATAGGAAACATCGGGAGAAGGTTCTGAGTGCCGGCGGTGGATGCTGAGGTTGCTCTGAAGGCTGCGCTGCCCAGCTGGGTGGCGCTGACTTCAGAGCAACCTCCAGGGAAGTGTCCACCGCCGGCGTTTGCAAGCAAGCACTACCCAGCTGGGGGGAAATGGGGCCTATGGGGAAAAATTGCAAAGCGATTTTTCCCCATAGGAAACATCGCAATGCGATCGCTTTTGCGATTGCAAAATCCACATCGGTATGCGGATTCGTCGTTAAACGGGCCACTCGTTATACGAGGCACACTGAAATCGCTTAGCGATGGGGTTTTGGCCATCGCCAGAGCGATCACTTAGCGATGGCCCCTATGGGGAAAAATCACTTTGCGTTGATCGCAGGGAAGTGATCATGACAAAGCGACCCTTTTTGCACAGCTGATCAGCGGTTCCAAAATGGCAGCTGGAAAAACAAAATGGCCGCCCGCTGTTTTGCCTCGCTTTAGAGGCACCGAAAATGGCCGCCCCTATGGAGGATCTTCACATAAGGTCAGTTTTTAAGCCCATAGGAACGCATTAAACACGTTTTAATGCATTTCTATGGGCTTTTAAAAATCGCTTAGCGATTAAATCGCTTAGCAACGTTTTTCCTGGAACAGATTAACGTCGCTAAGCGAGGCACCACTGTATGCACGCTCCAGAGCTGTTGCTCCAGGTGGCTGTTGCCAGATTGATGGATTACTCAGAAGGATTACTCTGCTGTAAAAGTTCAACAAAAAAAATCAGATACATATGGTCAAAATTATCTGAGCATATAAAGTTCATGCCCTGATTTTTAGCAGTCAATTTGAAATAGGTTCATCTTTACCCCCAGCCCCCTTTAAACTGCTCTGGTTAGCTTTAACCCCATATTAGTGCTCTATTTGGCTGTAGCTGTTTTGTCCTGGGGCCTGTACATAGCAGTTGAGAAGAAATAATCTTGCAAAAATAAAAATGATGGAATTATTTTCCTAGAGATATGTAGAACAGTTCAGGTTTACACCTGGCCAGAGTTAAGTTTTTGTTTTTTAAAATGACAGCTTAATTAAAAACCTGGGAAGCATTCCAACCTTCTTTCTTCTTGACTGCTTTCCTCAAGTTTCTGCAGCCTTCAAAAGCACGAGGTACAGTATTGGAAGGCCAAGCCAATGAAGAACAAACCAGACAGTGAGAAGCGAGAGCAACAAGAAGGTAAAAAAAAAAAGATGACATATGAACTTGTGGATTTCAAATTCTTATTATATTTTTTAAAAAAGAGAGAGAGACACCATCCATCAACAGACCACAAACAGCAAAAAGGCAATGCATTCTTCAGAGCTGGAAAATCAACAGAAAATAAAGTGATACTATATACTGGGGAGATTTCCTATACAAGTCCAGCTGAAATAAGTGATAGCTGTATAGGAAACACAAAGCTATTTTCTCTTGCTCTTACAGACAAATGGTGTTCTGTGCAGTTAGGTCTGCAGAGAAATTTTAGCTTTTTTTTGGTGCATTTCTCGTATATTCAAGCAATTTTCCTTCTAAGAATGCATTTTTCATATGTTATTTTCACTAACAAATTCATGTGCACTTTTCCCTCTTATGCACATTTCGATTGTTATGGAGAATCACAAAGAAACTTCAGAATCACTTCAGTTCATGTATATGGGTTTGGGAAATGCAAATGCAGCCTCACACCAAATTCCGCCAACAATGCTGGGCTCTCTAGACATGCGCTTTCAAGATGAAAGCGTTACACACTGACTGTTTGGTTTTCCCAGAACACCTCAACTAGCTGGTTTCTATTTCTGGGAATGTTCAGTTGGTAATACCAAAATGTGTTTTAATATTACAGTCGCATCACCTGCTCTTACCCAGCAACCACGAATTGGATTTTTTTAATCACCTCTCTCTCTCTTTTAAATTAACCACCTATTAATTGACTACAGTCAATCCTAACCATGATGGGTAGCTGAAACGTATTGACTTCAAGTTTAATCTCAGTGACCAAAGGACAGAGGGATAAAAATCTAATAAATAAATATACCACAGTTTATGAAGTTATCTGTTTCCACTAACCATCATTAAGACCAACCATAATTTAGGGTGTGGGACATGTATTGATCAAGAAGCACTGTGGTATCCTCTTTACAACTTCAGTAGCTGTAAGAACTGGAAAAGTCTATGTTAATTTTCATCTGAACACTGCCTTCTCTCCAGAGAACTGTCTGAAGGTATAGCATAGAAATCTAAGGAGCAACAGAAGCCTGACTGTGCCTATTCCAAGCTGTTCCAAGTTCTTTAAAGCAAAAGAAATTCATAAATGCAAAATATTAAGTACTGTACATATGAATTGTAAAGTAACTTCTGCAATATATTTTGTTTTAATGACCCTGCAGGAATCTTCTTTGAAAGGTAATTTGCATTAATTTTCAAGACGTATTGCTTTTAAAACACATCATGTAGATGCAAAACTTAAACAACAGAAGTAAATTTGTTTTAATCTCTTATGTTATAAAGCAAAAGAGTTTTATTTAGGAAAAACATTCTAAGGTTTAAGAATTTTTTTTAAATGTTCTCCACATTTAATCTGAGGATACCTACGCTTTGTATTTTTTTTCATAGCAGTAAGATAAAACTCTGAATTGAATATATGTCAATTATTGCTTGTTACAGGGGAGGAAAGCACAACTCAGAAGCAATGTAAGAAGTTTAAGTCTCTACCTAACATTTTAATGAGACATGCATGAAAATAATGGGGAGATATGTAAATAACATTTAATAAAGTTTGAAACTACAGATATTTTCGTAATACTGCAATTATGAAACAATGGAGAAAATGTCGTGAAAGATGCAGTAGTCAAAGATAAGTAATGCAGAATTATTTAATAATACAGTAATGTAATTTAGTTGAGTAAGTGATATGGTTAATTTTGAACGTATATTATGTAACCCATAAAACAGTACATATTTTATTATATTATTTTATACCACAGCTCTTTTTTGTGTGTGCATAAATTTAAAAAGATACATAAGTCAGGGCAGATTCAGAAAAAAAAAGGCGGACCAATTAGGAAAAGTTGAAATAAAATAATGCAAAATGCAGATCTGACATCAATTTTTGCACATTTTACAGGAGTGTTTCTAAGGCTTTCCTGTGTGCCCTTCTGATACAAAATGATAGTAACAATTTAAATGAGGTCATATCATTTTGCTGAAAATATAATACAGTGGTGCCTCGCTTAGCGATCGCTCCGTTGAGCGATGAAATCAGCTTTGCGATGGACTTTTGGCCGTCCCTGGAGCGATCGCTTAGCGATGGCCCCTATGGCTAAAATTTGCTTTGCGATGATCGCGGGGAAGCGATCATGGCAAAGCGAACTTTTTAAAACAGCTGATCGGCGGTTCCAAAATGGCCGCTGCAAAAACAAAATGGCTGCCCAATGTTTTGCCTCGCTTTAGAGGCACCCAAAATGGCCACCGCTATGGAGGAATTTCGCTTTAAGGTAAGGTTTTAGCCAATAGGAACGTATTAAACGCATTTTAATACATTCCTATGGGCTTTTTAATATCACTTAGCAATTAAATCACTTAGCGATGTTTTTTTCCGGAATGGATTAACATCACTAAGTGAGGCACCACTGTACAATTGTCATACAGACAGTCTAGGAAATTCCCCCACTGCTAACCCTCCACGTAATCCATAACATTGTAGGTGTGGCCACAACCTTGATGTCATCCATAGTTACCTCTCTGTCATCTCAGCACTGGTGCCAAAAAAAGTCCAATAAAGCTGCTCCACCCACACCTCTTCCAGGTAAGTCAATAAACACAAGGAGGGAGATAGGGAGCAAAAGAAACTGCTTCCCAGCAGCACTTCCAATGCCTCTCGACAGTACTGATTGAGAAGCAGTCAGATCACTCCTCCTCCAGGGAAATGGAGAGAGAACAAAAACAGAAGCAACCAGTCTCAGTCAGTACTCCCAGAAAATCCCTGGGAGTGCTGGCTGAGAGATAGCAAGATTATTCCTACTCTTGCCCTTGCCCCCACCCCAACCCCCAGGAAAGGAAAGGGTAACAATCCACTGTCAACTAGCAGTCCGTCAGGGCTTTGTGGGTCAGATTTATCTTTGTGCTGTTATTTCCTTGGACATGGCTTTGTTCTGTCTCTTTTTCTCTTGGTCTCTCTTAACTTACTCACACATACACACAACGGAAGAAGTTAATCTGATTAAGAACAAATCATCAATTCAATTTAAATCAATAGAAATCTTGATTTTAATTATGTCCCCCCCCCAAAAAAAAGGACACTTGGGCTTTATATAACCTTATTTAGGAATGGGTTTTGGATTTCTTGAGGGTACAAATTCCATAATGCCCCATTCTGAGAGTTTTAGCTCACATATACAAATTACAGACACTTAAAATATGTCTCATCTGGGAGAAAAGACCAAAACTGAAACTGTTTATGGATTAGCTGAGCCTAGCTCTGCCTAGCTACCTGTTCAAAAAGAAAGCTCCCAGTGAACTATGGGACAGGAACAGGAAGCTTGAGTGGACCTAATTTTAACAATCTTCTTGCTCAGATAATTCTCAGCTAATAATTTTCTATTCACTGATACTTCCAGTGTCTGAAACTGTGCACTGGGAAAGAAGACTGTGCAACAGAGGTGTACTCGGGGTGGGGGAAATCATATGATTAAATCTGACTCCACTCTGATCACTGCCACCTTGTGCACTTTTAGTGACAGGGTAAGGACTTCATTTTGTCTACAAAAGGTTGGACGCATAATAGGCAGGGTTCCCATGCTGAAGGAATCAACAGGATTCAAAGAAACCACCAAAAAAAAAAAACCCTAAGAGATTTTAATAGGGCTTGTGAGAATTTCCAGCAATGGCTGGAATCTTATTACATATTTACACTGATGTAACTCTGGGGGGATAAACTGCAATGGCAAATCATCACAGATTAGGAAGTTAGCATAAGCATTTGCTCTTGCAACTTAAGTCACATGACTGATATGCCACAAATTCTTAACTTTCAGGATTATACAACTGAAATTCATTCCGATTAAGTTACACCAGTGAGTGTAACTAAGAGAATTCTAGCGATTACACCCCATTAAGGAAAACGGGGGGGGGGCTCTTGTCAGAATAAGAAAATGGCTTGATCTGATGTATTTCTCACTCCCATACATTGCTGTTAACAAGAATTTTTATCTTTAGAAGCAGAAACTTACATTGAGAACTTCAGATTTTATTTAATATTTATGAGACTTAATGCTGGGGAGGCAGAAAGACTTAACTCTAAATAAACCACACAGAATCCTGTGAAACCATATAAGGTAGTACAGGTCCTAATCAAAGAATTGATAGATTCTGTTTACAAACTTTTTAAAAACAGAGATGATTACACTGTCTCATAATGTAGAATAAAAATGTATAATCCCTGTGGCGGAATGCCCAAGTCGCGCCTGTCCGTCATATGAAGCTCTAGGGCAGGAGCCTATGGCAGGAGAGGAGGGGCGGAGTCAGGAGAGCAGTGGGAGACTGAGGGAGCCTATAGAAGAGGTTTTGAAGGGTTAAGACAGAGATTGGAAAGTTGGTGTGTGATAGAGGATAGATAAGAGATAAAAGTAATAGCAAATAGATAGATAGTCATAAGATATTGTTACAGTGGTTTATGTGAATGAATACAACGTGTAATCCTATCCAAGTTTAATGACTGAACAATAAAAGAACATCTATGATTTTACTTCTGCGATTTACCAATTTACCAGTTATATTTGGCAGCCCGAGTGTAAGATTCATATTTGGTACAGTGTGGATAAAGATCCACTGGTGGCAGTGAAAAGGGAGAAAAGAGTACATCATGTCCGAAGGTGGACCTGTGTTTGAGGGAAAACAAACGGGACACTAGGGGAACATGCGACAAAGTTGGTGGCAGTGGTGGGATTCCATAATGAATCTTTTGAGCAATAAAATATTTTAAATTGAAACTATCACCATACAGGACCTTTTTTAAAAAAGGTATTTAACCAATTAAAAGAACTGATTTAAATTTTTTAAAATCTAATTTAAAAAAATGAAACCTGTGTTTTTAGAGTTCCCTTCCCCCCAACAAAAAACCCTATTGACTTTTCTCTGCTCTAATAGGATAGCAGGACAGTAAAACTTCCCACAGAAATCAAGGATGAAAACTAAAATCCAACTAGGTAGCAATAGAGACACCCTCAGATAGAATGTGTATTTGCTGTTGGCTGACTATGAATGCATTTTCTTATCTGGTGCAACTATATTTGCAGCAGACAAATGCTATGAATGTTACTGTAGACAAGTTGTACAAATTACAAATGCAATGAAAATGATATTTAACACAAAAGCACTACTATCATAGAGGAGAATACTATGTACTGACTGAGGTTAGTATGGATTGCAGAAGGGATTAGAAACAAATGAAAACAAAAGCAGGATATGACAATGCAGCAGGCACACGCAAAGTGAATGTGAGGAAAGCAAAAGAAGACATTCTAAGAACTACCAAGGAAAATCCTCATGGATGAATATTGTTGCTATCCAAGGAAGAAGAGCACATGAATCACTGCAGACTGTGAAGTTAAGCATTTGCCTAAGAGATTTCAGGATTCATATAGCAATAATATATGCCAGTCAAGTGCAAAAACGTGTCTGATATCACAATGGAATTTACAACAGCCTGGTTAAAACAGATATATTTCTATGTAAATATGAAATTTTTAATAGTACCTCTTTTTCTTCTTCTTTTCTTTTTTCTTCAGTTTTTCTAAGTCTTTTTTAGCTAGATCAAGAATCTCCGCTGTTTCTTTATCAGAAGGAAGTATGGAAGCAGAAAATGCTGAGGGGCCACCAAAGTATGTTGACCTCGCTGAAGCTCTTGACAAGTTGCGCCGAAGGTTTTCATTCACTGCTTCACTTTCCAGTAGTTTTGCCCTAGTCACATGGAATTACAGGGGGGGAAATAGAAATAGAAAGTTTCAAACATAAAAATATGTGACAAAAATATATGAAAGAATATTTAAGACTCTTAAGTTGTCACATGAACATTTTAATAAAAATTCACTAAATGGCGTTCTAGCCTGACATCATTGCATACAATATAAGCAACTGTATGCTAAGTGCTCTTAAGTCACCTCCAAATATTGTGACCCTAACAGCTTTTCAAGATATGTAAGATAGTTAAGAAGTCACTGAGATACTTAAGGCTATCATAAGTAGAAATGGGGTCATTTGTATTCATAGACGAATATCCCCCCCCCCGCAGGTGGAAATAACAAGGGTCCAGCCCTGGGAACCAGCACGTCCACTCACCATTTGGCCACTGCCGTGGGTGCAGCAGCGCCTTCCTATCACACTGTGCTCTGCAATGGATTAGCCACTTCTGGTTGGAGGCGGGATGACAAGCCTCTCTGCCAGGTTGCAGAGTGGTTAATCCATTGTTGAGCACAGTGTGACAGGAAGGCACCTTTGCGCCCGTGGCAGCAGCTGAATGGTGAGTGGATGGTCCGGCTTCATGGGGCTGGACCCTTGTTATTTCCACCTGCGGGGGGATATTCCTATTTATCTACAAATACCGATACCCCATCTCTAATTGTAAGTAATAGTAATATATTAATATCACAGCTGTTTTCACAAAAATAGCAGTGTTCATTTTATACCAGAATGTTTATTTACAAACACACACTGTTCTGGCACTAGAAGACTTGGTAGGTTCATGTTGCCGTTCAGCATTAAGTCTAAACCAAGATAAACTAGTTTGTCTCAACCGTTGTCTGCTTCAAGCAGTTTGAACTTGATCTGTTTAAAGACGTTGTAGTTAAGGAAAACTGGCTTGTCTGCATTTGGACATATTGGCTGAAATCCTACTGCACAGCTATGTTTACAACTTAGCATTCTGTTCACAGTAGTTACAACAAATGCAAAATCTGGTACACTAAGGAGAACAAAAGTTCTGACTTGAACAATCCTTACTCTCTCTTTCAGACATATATACTGGGGGAGAGGGAGAGATAGACTACATCTCCACCACAAGTGCTGGTACAGTGCAGAGAAGCTTATTAATTCAAGATATATATATAGGTGGGTCAAAATTATAGCATCTGTCAATACCTGAGATCTTCAATTTCCTTGATGTAGTTATGAATCATGTTACTGATTTCTTCATTACCATCTCCTTTAAAAGAACGAAAGTTCTGTAAGCTAAGCTCCCACTGGTAAAAATGCATCTTTAAAGCATTATCAGAATACCATAAATGCATCAAATTCTTCAAATACATTGGAAACAAATTGTACTATTCATACTGAAGACTTTTCTAAGGAAGAAAGAGGAAAAAATGTGTGCAAGTATGTCTCTGAAAAGATATGTATGCACACATATGGATATATGTGCATTACAAGAGCATGCAGCATTGAGTGAATGGGGCCAGAAGGATGTAGTCAGTTCCGCTAACACAATAGCTGTGCTAAAAAGGTAGGAGAGTATCACAACAGTGAGCAGGATAGGGGAAGAGAGACCAACATTCAGCAGAGAAAAAGTATATCTGATACTGCAAAATGGGAATGTCAAATGGTAAGAACACAACAGAGGTTTGAGTAATAAGAGTTACTTTGAGTTATTATTAAATGTGTACTAGACAGAAGAAAAGATAGATGCACATTACCCCATGACCAAGATAAAGCAAAGAGGAATGCCTTGAACAGCCTAGCTGTGACTATTAGCAGTAATTTACTATAACTTACTATCCATGTAACTTACTATCCTGTGAAGGATACTGATGTGACAAATATGACTTCTATTACTCCAGGCTACTAATTTTACTCCAGGCTACTAATAAGAAGTGCCCAAATCTCTGGTTTTTGACAGATAATAAATGAGTGTGCTTCTAACATGTGCTTCTTTTTTTAATATTTGTATACTTACTGCTTTTAGCTTTTAAATATTGTTGTATTTATGTTGTAAGCTGCCTTAGATCATTTTAAGGAGAAATGCAAGGTAAAAATATTTTAAATAAATAAATAATAAAAATTTCAACTTTTCCTCTCATCTCTTTAACCTGTTCACCAACTCTGCATTTTTAATATATACTTACCCATATATTTCTTGGGTCTACTTAATCTCTCACTACGTAAGAGTATTCGACTCAAATTACTGTCATGAATAAGTGAAATCTTAGCAATTTATATCTCTGGCTTTTCAGCCTAGGTCTGAAGATATTGCTTGTTCTAATGAGTAACTTGAGTACAGTTGTTTTTTTTAATCATTTGCATTACAACAATATCTAGTTTTTAAAAATTGAAATTTTGAGACTGAAGTTGCAGTAGGTCACTTACTGTCACTTTCACTGTTACCACTATGGCTACAATACACATACACTGGCTTATGGGAGACCGAGGTGGGACACGAAAGCAGCTCCCTCATAGCCCCACATATCTTCAGTTAGGAAAATGAACACAGCTTAATATTAACATACTCTTACTAAAACCCAGCCAGAATGAACATTCTTTCAGCAGCATTCAGATCAAACTTGTAGTTACAACACTCATACAATTAGCAATTGTTTTAATGAGGATTTTTAAAAGAGCAAATAGATATGGTACACCACCATCCACTCCAAAATCTGGAGTTAGGAATGAAGAGAATGGCAGAATGTTTCATCCCTTTGCCAACTATGCCCCTGTTTGTGTTGGAAGGAAAACGTACACTTGCGTGAATGCCATGTACACAGAGGAGCGTGGGGAAAGGTTAACCCCACATCCACACCCTCTTAGTAGGGTCCCTGTCTAGATCTCTCTTCTTCGTGACTGCTGCTTAATCTAAGTTACAATCTTAAATTGTAATTAAATTATTGTTAACTGTGTGAATTATGTCATATCTATTTTATTTCTGACCCGAATAAATAACAGTTTCTCCAGACATAAATTCATATATTTTTTCAGCAGTAACAAGGGCGTATTACCTGCTCTAGCAAGGACCTGGTTGGCCTGGTCACTCACAAGCTGTGTGATTCGAGCTCTCAATCCATCCACAGTCTCTTGCATAGCCTTTATCCTGACCCGCAGGTTGTTGTTTTCTGTTTGTAGCATGGCATTTTCATGAAACATGTCATTAATACTTTCTACACCTTCCTCGTCAATAATTCTTTTACCCTAAAAGAAAGTAAATATACAATTATTTCCCTCACTTGCCAAGGGCTAATCTTAAAATCTGAACTAAAATTTAAAATGGCTGTCAATTCAATATGTCACCTGGGTCCCAAGAGCAGAATTATATAGTTTGATTAGAATACACAGCTGTTCCACACTGCAGAATATTCTCATTGTTTTGCAACTATCAAAAATTTAAGTGTTTACATCAGAAATACCCCCAGGGCAACTGTGCCCCTGTCACAGCATTTAGGAAACTGCTCAAAAATGTCCAAGAATCCTTTCAAATGAAGAGAATGCATGCAAGCAATATGAATTAGCAAACTTAACAAAAGGATCCTGAGAACAAGAAGCCATTGTGCAACTATTTTTAAAATTCAGGTTCAGAAGCAAAGCTAAACATGTTATAGTAAGAGTATGTATTTAACTCTATCTCCTGATTGCAAAGTGCTACTCTTTCCCCCTTGCTCATTCATTATGCTGCACAGGAGCCTTCAGCATTATCAGTGGCTGTGTTCTGACCACTAACATTAAATAAACTGACAATTTTATGAGATGCAGCAGGTCCAAAACCTTCCCGGAATTAAACAAGTTTTCCAGTGTATAGCAAATATTAACACTGCATCCTCCAACACTTTTAACAGAGACTCTTTCTGTCTGAGTGTCTTTTACATAATTCAACACTTATTTGTTTGATTAAAATACATCTATAAGGACCAAATGGTAATTGTGCATGTAATATTTCTAGTATCACCTTGATTACAACTTCCCTGAAATTTTGCAAAGATCTGCTGTAGGTTTGAAATATTAAGTAATGAGGAACTGCATCTGCAAAGGGAATTGGGGAGTTTGGACCTGTGCATCTTACTGCCCCAGCCAGATTTTTACCAATGTATGGTTACGAAGAACAGAAGCATGGCATTTTGCACTACTAAAAGGTGGAGAGAGAGAAAGCGAATCAACCTGGCCACACAATATGCAGTTATCTGCCACAATGTACATCGAAATAAAAGAAGCACAAGAACTGATGAAAACATATACCACAAACTTCAAATGATTTTTACCGTTTTGTATTCCATGAGTTCCATCTGAAGCCGAGTAATTTCACTTCGCAGTGCATTTATTTGCTGACTAGCCCTGTCCTGATTAACCATCACTTTGTTCTTGATATTCCGTGCCCGATTTGCATACTTTAAAGTGTTCAGTGTTTCCATAAAATCTCTGTCTGAAGGGCTTACACATGCTATCATGACTGTTTGGCTGCAAGTGAAACACAGATCTTTTTTTTTTCATTTGATATAAACTCCAAAAACAAGCAAGAACAGTGCTGCATTATATTCTGCACCAGTTATATTCACAACTGGTGAATATAAACAAAAGACAACGCATTCGTATGTTTACTCATAGGTTAACATAACTGTTTTGATGGGTCCCAACAACAATACAGGTGGAACAGTATGCCCAGAAATTAACCCCACCCCACCTACCCGACAACTACCGTACTGCCAGAAGCCTCTCTGCCTCTTTAGCAAGTTGCACAGCATTTTTTAAAAGGGGGTAATGCCAAACATAGCTGCACAGCACCAGTTGCAGAAACATGTGTAAATGCTGATGATTCTGCTTAAGGCTGAAGACGAAAACTGACCTCCTGACTTTTTTGTTCCCTTATAAAAGCTGCTGAAGGGCAGTCGTAGCCTTCAGCACAACTATGAAGATCTATGCTGAGACTTAATCATCTGAAACTACAATAAGGAAAGCTATGTGTAAGTGGGCCCCGAAGGAACATATTTAGCAAAGTATCATCTGATTACCAACAAGTTCAAATTTAGAAAGTAACTGGAGTGGGGATAAAAGCAGTGCAATCTTCTTTTGTATGTTTATCAGAAATGCTGATCACAAGAATATTATCCGAGTGTAAGTGGGAATTACACAGTATACAAGTGATAACCCATAATTAGATGTTAAAACCACATTTTGTGGAATAATACATTACAATGCGACCTAACAAATTTCCTAATTTTAGTTTATATTCTCCAAGTTGTGCTGGTTTTTTACAACGACCTGGTTTTCTATTTTGTCCAGACTGCACTATATTTTTGTGCATACCACTACAAAATAAGGTTTGTAATCTTTCCCAAAATTCTTCATCATTACCCTTTTAAAACAAAATTATATTATGAATCAGTGAGGCAATTTAACCACCCATGTTATTAAACCATAACATTTAATGCTACAAGCTTCTTGCAATGTACAATCTCTGAAATTTTACTTTCCTATTTTTAGTTAAACTTAACATCTACACAATTTTATTTTTAAAATAAGAGGCTTATATAGTGCTTTGTACATAGCATCACTGAGATACACTCAGTGTACTGTAGTAGATAGGGCAACAGAAAAGGACTCAGGAGCCCTGGGTTTGAATCCCTGCCCAGCCATGGGGGTGTGGAACTGTTAAAACCAGTCCTTAAATATCTCACTCAACTTGAAAGCCCAATTAGGATCATCATATACCGTAAGTTGGCTCCAACTTGATGGCACATAACAACAACAAAACACCATCAATTGTTTTTCTACTCTGAATAACCCAAGTGAAGTTTCATTAATAATATATAGTCTTAGAATTGCAGAGCTGGAAGAGACTTTATGGGTCATCGAATGCAGCCCCTGTATGGGAGGCACAGTGGGGAACTGAACTCCTAACCTCTGGCCTGGCAGTCAGATACCTAAACTACTGACCTATTCAATAGTTCAGCCCACTGCATAATTAGTAAAACCCAGGATACAGCTTCTATATAGCAAAACCACATAGAAGCAGGATTCGTTGAGGCAACTGACTTCTATGATTTACACTACAGGCACTTCCACTGCCAAATTACAAATCAATCTTTGAAAAGCAATTGATCTTTCCTGTCCTCTCTTCTTCCCTGAAGCATGTTCTGTTCCAGTAAAAGCCTCTTTTGAAGCTTGGGGGGGGAGGGCTAAGAGTAAATAAATTATTTTTTGGACTGCAGTTCCTAAAAGCCCTGAACCTCAAAAGTCTGGGCTGTGCTGCAAGTAAGGGTAAATAAATTATTTTTTGGACTGCAATTCCTAAAAGCCCTGAACCTCAAATGTCTGGGCTGTGCTGCAGGAGGCAGCAATGATAATATAGGCAAATATAGTTTGGGAACTACTGCTACTGATATACCGTAAATCCTAGGAGCATTCCTATGATAACCTTTTCATCTTGTAAAGCAGTGGAGTCAAAAGATTTGTCATCTCCATATAACATGTTTCTCACTTTGTTAAACTAAAAAAGCATTAGATTTCTACAGTATAACTGCTACACAATTATGATGCCTAGATGGCTGTTTCTGAAACCTTTCCTGTTGTAGAATACCACCGTTTAATAATTTATCCAAACAAAGAATAAATGCACTCCAAATTCTACTTGAAGGACAAAGTAAAGTATCCCTTTAAATAAATAATTTACTTGTACTTTGTTTTCACTGTAAGAATTTTCTGTTTTGTCCACTAAATTTTTAAAAAGTTAAGTGGCCATTTTCTCTTCTATTTATGGAGCAACACTACTTCTCAGCTCATATAGAGCAATGAGATTTATCGTACCATAGTTCTTTTTCCTTCTAAAATTTTATTTATGTTCTATGTTCATTTTAGGCTTGACAATATCAGTCAAAAAAGCTCTTTCATCATATTTTTGACTCAACACATTCAGTACATTTTTGCACATACCTGTTTCCTCCAAGGGAATCTTGTAACAGTCGTGTTAATTTTGAATCTCTGTACGGGACATGGGTCACCTTCTTACTCTTATCTCCCAGTGCACTTATCACATTGCCCAATGCCAACTACAGAATACATCAAAACAAGTTTTAACTTAAACTATGTCATAAAACCTATTTTCTGGAAAGAAAAAAACATGTTTAACTATTCCCACAATTAAGATGTTACTGCCAAGAGTTTTTAAATGCATAGAAATGGTATTCAAGTAGGTGAGACAACGCACTTGGCAAAATACTATTTTGTCCTTTTCTGCCGCAGAGTTCTTGCTGCCAAAAAATCTCAAACTCCAAAATAGGCTATTGTTCACTTTTATAAGCAGCTCACAATGTTAGTTCTAGGACCATCAAAGCTTCAGCTGCATTCACTGTTCCTGCTTCCAAATGCATGATCCTTCTGTACATCACCAAAAAGGCCATTTCACACAGAGGCTGTTTTCAACAGGGAATTCTGTACTATCTATTGGATGGAAATCAAATTTAAAATTATATTGTCATTTACACCACTGGTGCACATTTCAGCTATGACATGCCACAAATTAAGTCAGAATAGACATCTGTTGTTGAATATCAGCCACGAAACTGGCATGCAACATCAAATGCCTAAACTTGCTTCACAACTTGCAGCAACTCACAGCTAAGATTTATGCCAATGGAGTTATACTGCAAGCATTAACTAACAGGCTTCTGGCCTTTCCAGTCTGCCTTTGCAAAGTCCAACTATTAGAACACTTCAAGTCACAATTTTGTGCTCATATCCCACAGAAAGCAATCCAGGAACAGAGCAAAAAAGTGTGTACGGAACAAACTTTGCACCTGGCTTTTTACATAAAAGCAGACTAAAAAGATATTTCAGAGTTATATACAGGAAATTTCAGCACAAGACTTTCATAAACATGATCTATGGAATGATCATGCATTTGCAAGAGAGAACAGGAGCTTTCAACAATTCAACAATGCATGTTTTAGAATGTGGTTATGCTACTTATAAAAACATGACTGGGGAACTTGTGCTTATGCAGCCAACAGTAAAATGTGATGGGAGTTGAGTTTAGATTCCCCACCCCTAATGTACAACAATGATCTTTTACAGAAATGGGGAGGCAAAGGGAATTGCTACTGTTTAACTGACTTTAACAATATTTCAACTACAGGAACAGGATGTCCACAAAATTTTCAAATACAAAATAAAGAGCCCCATATATTGATGAACCGGTGGATTAAAGCCTCCTTTGTTTAATGAAGTGTCAGTAGAAAGCTACACGTAATATCATTACTGTTAAAAATGTAAACAGTAAGGGCAAAAGGCTATGAAATACAAAAGGGATTGTGTAACAATTTTATATAAAAATGTTGAGGCAAAAGCACAGTATCTTTCACAGCAGCTATAGTCAGCCTAGCTTTGATAGAATCATCCAAGGTTTGCTTTGTTAATTAACACCTTCTTATGTATCACGAGCCAGCCATCAAAATGGGTTAAGGAATCCAATTAAGGGATCCAATATGCACCCCCTACTTCAGCAGGCATTAATCTAGTAAGAAGTGTTACCATCAGTTAACAATTTCAGGCCTACTTTTGGTACTAAAAAAAAAAAAAAAATTAAAACCAGCAGTGCAACTTGCCAGTTCCATTTCATGCATACCTCTGAAACAGTTAATCAAACATGACCTAGTTCTCAGTGCTTGCTTCTTCTACTGCACAGCATTAGTCCTTATGCACATTAATTATATATACAGGAATTCTTCTAAACAACTGTAACTCCTTACAGACTTACTAGTCCACAATTGATAGAAATGCTTAAAACCAGCAGTGCAACTTGCCAGTTCCATTTCCTGCATACCTCTGAAACAGTTAATCAAACATGACCTAGTTCTCAGTGCTTGCTGCTTCTACTGCACAGCATTAGTCCTTATGCACATTAATTATATATACAGGAATTCTTCTAAACAACTGTAACTCCTGGCAAGGCAGCACAAGCACTTAAGACTTACTAGTCCACAATTGATAGAAATGCCTTCTTTCGCCCTCTCTCCAGTGGCTCCCGTACGCTTTAATCGTTCAGACCCTGCCAGATCTACAAAGTGAAACTTTGCAGTCAGGGTCTCGAATTCATTCAGCTGCGATGACTCTGATATTATTCTATTGTCTGTCATATTGTCCTGTGATGTAGAAATAAAAGATATAAGGCTACATTGTGAGAAAGATGCTTTCCTTAAAAATATCTTGTAAGACACACTCCTTTATTGTAATGAATGCATTCTGAAAGCTGTGGATGTCAGGAATGAATCATACACATACGTATGCCCTTACCAGGGACAGATCATTTGGCTGGAAAAGCAACTGGTCTGTAAAGGAGAGATATTTGTTTCCTCCCAAGCAAAGAAAGGAGAGAACTAGGAAAGGAGTGAAATTTCATCCAGAAAATAAGCAAATCCAATTAAGACAAGTTCACCATTAAAAACATCAGATACTGAAGTAGTGTCCCATTCAAAAACCTCAGATTTTCCCAAACAGTTGCATTCTATTGTAGTAAATTACTGTAGCTAGAAGAAGCTTTGCATTGGTAGCATTGCTTGATATCTCAACTGTCGCAATAAAATTATAGAAACTAGATTAGCCAGTGTCCCATTCAAAAACCTCAGATTTTCCTAAACAGTTGCATTCTATTGTAGTAAATTAGCTAGAAGAAGCTTTACATTGGTAGCATTGCTTGATATCTCAACTGTCGCAATAAAATTATAGAAACTAGATTAGCCCATGCACATCGTAGATGTTGGTCAAAATCCTTTTAACTTACTTAATTACTCCTGTGAAGGGCAGATAGAATAATCTGCAGCAAATTCTCACTGCTAATTAACAAGTTCCTATTTAGACGTTCAGGTACAGACCAGTCTGATAGGGTGATGCATACCCCAAAATCCAAGAAGGGGCTCATAGATCAACAGTAAAAAGCCACTGTAAGTTACACAGCTTGCATTTCATAGATGTAACTACTCAACTGAAGGGAAGGGCAGATAGAATAATCTGCAGCAAATTCTCACTGCTAATTAACAAGTTCCTATTTAGACGTTCAGATACAGACCAGTCTGATAGGCTGATGCATACCCCTAAATCCCTAAATCAACAGTAAAAAGCCACTGTGAGTTACACAGCTTGCCTTTCATAGATGTAACTACTCAACAGGTGTAAACTGCCCAGAATAGTGATGTGCACTAATGGAACAGTATATAACTCCTAACTGCCCAGAATAGTGATGTGCACTAATAGAACAGTATATAACTCCTATAAACAAACAAACAAACAAACAAACAAACAGGATTTTGGCCGCTTTGTGATATACATGATATTCACATACATCAACATACTGACAACAACATGTAAACATTAGTTTTTCTGGTTTTTCAGATACTGTGCAAGAAAAAGATCTCTACTGCATTTTAAAGCAAGCTACAATTAAACAATAAGTACGCGGTGGTGCTGCGGGTTAAGCCTCTGGGCTGCAAGGTCAAAAGACGAGCAGTTGGAATCCACGTGACAGAGTGAGCTCCCATCACTTGTCCCAGCTCCTGCCAACCTAGCAGTTCCAAAGCATGTAAAATGCAAGTAGATAAATAGGTACCACCACGGTGGGAAGGTAACGGTGTTCCATGTCTAGTTGCACCGGCCACGTGACCACGGAACCCGTAAAAACTCTATGGCTTGGAAACGGGTATGAGCACCGCACCCTAGAGTCAGACACGACTGGACTAAATATCAAGGGGAATCTTTACCTTATCATTAAACAGGCTTTCATGTGATTTCCAAAACCTGCAAATCCTGCCTGATTAGAAGCATCAATGAGATAAAAGAACCATTTATGGATGTTCCACGAGAACCCAGGCTTTCTTAAATCAGTTTCAGCTTTTTAAAGACTTAACTCCAAACTCCAAATGAAAAGAACTACGAGTGTCTCCAGCTACTACCAGAAGGAAAGAATGTGCAGTACTCCAAACAAAGGTTTTGGGAAAGGCATGCAGATTTTTATATTTCTATTATAAAATTGAGCTAGACTCCATACTGAATAACTTGGAGACAAGATGGGCTGCTGAACTAAGGGGGCCCTCATCCATCTCTCCGTGGTTCTCACATACATTAAAAACTCCTCCCTGAACATTTAATTAATTCAGCAAAGAAATCTTTTGTGCACCAACCTTGTTCCCCACCTTGGGTAACCCAGGTGATTTTGGAACTACAATTTCCAGAAACCTTCATCACCAGCTGTATTGCCTAGGGTTTCTGGAAGCTGCAGTCCAAGAACATCGAGGTTACTCAAGGTGGGGACCACTGGCCTAGATCATGCTAAACGAGGTTACTTCGAGGTACGGTAGGTCATTTGGGGCAATTCTTGCATCCATATGAAAGGACTGACCACACTGCAGCTCAAATGACCCAGTCTAGCACGATCAAGCCTTCTTTCCCTTTAAATGGAAAGTTTCTAATTTCTCAAGATCATTAAACGGTTTAGGCAAACTACAGAGAAGGAATTAATTAAAAATCATGAGAAATCGGAGGCTTTCCCTTTAAATCTTCCTTGCCACTCACCTTTGGAGGGGAAGAGAAGTTTTACATTTCTGTTTTTAAATAGTTCCAAACTGAAATAGCACATCAGTAATGCTTTGGAAGAGCTTTTAAAAAGTCCTCTCACAGCACTGCTGATACATTAGAAACAACTAATAAGAAATGCAAAACATTTTCCTCCTTGCCCTCCTTAAGTGCTTCAGGAAAGGGACAACCAGCCAGTGGCTCTGGTTCAATCTCAGCAATCACACCAAATCAGAGTGATACTACCCACACCTAAAACAGATTATCACAGACAGGGAGCCTGAAAGGTGCAAGTAGCAACACTCTGGGGATGGTCTGCTATTGACATGGTGTGGTTGCTGGAAAAAGGAGTAACAGCCTGTCTCTAGAACAGAACAGATTGCAGTCTTGCTCAACACTCCCCCCCTTTTGGAAAGAAGATAAACTACAACATATTAATTTTATAACTAAAACATCACTGTATCTCACAACATACAACTTACTCCTGGAATGTCTATCTGTGGACTGAAACAATGAAAATAGAAATAGACTGTACATCCTAAGGGCTATCTTAGTAACTAAATGCATTATTTTACAAAACTGAAAGTTTCATTCTGCACCATGCATTTAATGCTGGACAGAAGATAATGGATCTGGACAAAAAGAGGACATAGGAAATAACAGAAGAAAAAAATTATTAGATCATGCAGGTCACTTTCTTACAACTACTTATGACTGGCCTTGATGTACGGAAGAACTATATCATCTTAGCACCCCGTGCAATCTTTGCTATCTTTCTATGTCTATAAACATGAAAGACCTTAATAATATAGAATCAGCTATAGCTCTAGATATCTGTAGTGGGATATTAGAAAGATAATGCTGGGGAGGACTGGAAGAGTTGTATCTTTGAAAAACAAAAAGTATCAAACAGTTTAAATTTTAAAAAGAAGAGCCTGACCAAGACTTCAGACAATTAGGTATAACAAAGCTTCCCTTCTACTCGGAAAATTCTTGACAATGACCTCCAACACCTCTGAGAACATAGAGCTTGTGTGTGTCAGTTCTAACTTACGGTGATCTTTTTTCAGGATTTCATAGGTAAAGAGTACACAGAAGTGGTTTATCACTCCCTTCTTCTGGGAGCATCCTGGGAATTTGCAGCTTGCCCAAGCCCATACAGGACTGCTCTACTGGGACACAAAGTGGGCATTGGAACTCCCAATCACTGGCTCCACAGCCAGAGACCTAACTCATTGAGCTACCAGCCAGGTAATTAGGCCTTATTAGTAAGTAGTAAAATGTCTATATGACGCCTGTCAGAATAAGTGAGGCGATCTCACTCTCTGTTGAACATGTTATTATACTGTATATAGTTGAGTACATCATCACATATAGTTGAAGCAGGTGTATTTCATGCTTAGTGCATTTTATGATTTTTGTTAATTCAATAAAATACTAGTCAGAAGTCTTCTACTCCCATAACTATCAGTTTGCTTCCAAATAGGAACTTATTTTAAATTCAATTAAAAACCAAGATTGATACATTTAAGTTTATGCTTAAATTCATGTGTGTGTATTTTGGAATCTTAAGAAGCCTGCCTAATTTTCCAAATCAAATACAATTGTTTCTTAAAAAGAAAGAAAGAAAGGCTACTGCTTGTTTTAATCTTTTAACCGTGTAAAGCAGATTCTAAATACAGTATTTAAAATTTTGTCTGTGGCTACTAGCGGTTCTAACGGATGACTGAACAATTAGACCACTAGGTGAACCTCCTTCATTTTACGCTAGACGATTCTTACAAGTGTTACCTGTGTAAGTATTCTTTGCCTTCTTTGCAGAGGTTAAAAGATGTGAAGTATTTCATTTATGTGACTACAAGCACACATACAGATAGATAATATTTTTAACTTTCTGAACCAAGCAAAAACTTATCACAATTTCTGGGTATGTAACAGTCAAATATTTGCCATACTTAATCATCAGACTAACATTGTAGGATCACCGAGGGCTGTTACAGTCTAGGAAAGTTTTTCCTAATGGAGTAATAGGGGAAAGTCTACATAATCTTATTTATTTTAAAAACAGCATGATACTTGAACATTAAAATAAATGCAAATCCAGCACGGGTAGAGAACCTGGAATGAACTAATTATTTGATCATGTACAGATAGGAGAATTGGCATGGGGCAGGCTGCAGTGATGGTAGTGATGAGAAGAGTAATTACAGGTAAGCCAGAAGCACCAGTCGGAAAAATCAAGCAAGGGCATTTAAATATAGTATGACTCAGCTCTTACCAACAGAGCTGTGCTAATACAAGGAGTATAAAAGTACTTCTCTTACACCTGCTGCAAGATACCATTGGATTTTTACTTTTAGCAATGCTTCTTGATTTTAAATATCAAGGAGACAGAAAATCAGTCATCTACTACTGAGGAAAAATGCTCACTAGAGAAAAAAGTAGTAATGATTTGCTTATTACTTAGAGGCAGCCAAAATATTTCTGATTAAGAATGCCCCATCCCTCTGATTTACCAACTGATTTCTGTAGCCACTTTTTGCTACACTTCAACGTTTCAGTGTATTATTGCCCTCTAATTGAAACCAACAAATCATTCCTTATTCACATTCTCCAACTCAGACAAACAGAACACAGTGTTTGAGCAGTGAATGAACAGCATCCATGTTTATGGATGCAAATTACTAATAAAGGAAACAGAGATGTAGATTACCAATAAAGCATAATGAGCCGGTTGTTCAGTAAGTGTCTGCAATCTGACACTCTCCAAATATATAAATCCTGCTCTGGCTACATCTGAATTTTGAGATTTGTAGTCTAAGGCAGCTGGAAAGTATCAGGTTGGAGAAAGCACGTTTAACTGCAAAAAGAACTTTGAAGTAGTAAATAACAAAACATCAATGGGAAAACATGGTTGACAGGAAAATATGCTGCTTTCTGCCAAGATGTCATTTAAAATTAGCTAATAATCTAGTGTCCAGCTCAACAGATTAAAAACTTTACCCACTGCTGTTAATCTAAATTCAGTTAGAGTTTTAAATCCTTTCTCAATAGAGAAAGGCCTTTTGTACTAAGCTCTGCTGGAGCACGGTTCCCTCTTGTGTCATCAAGATAGCTCAGAAAAGCATGGACTGTATGGGAAAAGCCCAGGTGTCAACTTTGCCGGCATCATACCTGTATGAAGAGACATAATGTTGTCATAGGCAGGATGTGCATAATGAATCACCTCATGTTACTCCAGAATCTTAAGAACCAACAGGCCTGAAGCAACCCCCCACATCAGCAATATAGCAATGACAGCCTGTGCTATCAGTCCAGTAACACGGAGGGAGGAGCTCCTTAAAGTTTTACATAAAGCAAGCATACTTCCAGACCACCACAGATCTAAGATACATACTGCATCAATTGGGGAGCAAACTCGAGTCTGACACAAATGGATAGTGAAGATGGCGTGTGAACGTGAGCTCTGAACATTCATCTGAGTGCTGGCAGTGGTTCGAGATAAAGCTCCCAGCTTCAAACACTGCATCATCTGTACAAATGGGGGAAAAAGATGGTAGAGATTAAGTTTGAAAAAAAATACATCCACAGATACACACCCCATGTCAAACTACTCTGAATTTTAAAAGTTTTCACTCAAAACAAACATAATATTTTCTCACTTAATTTTCAAGTTAACTAAAACATACAAACACAGACACCACTGCACAAGGACTTTCAAAGTGCTTTCTTCTAAATAGTATATAGTATTTATGGGTATTTTTATCAGTGTAAAAGCCATCCAAAGTACTGGCATGCCACTAGATGGGTAGGGTAAAATTTTAATAAAATAAAAGAAATACATAAAATAGCATTTCCTTCAGCAATAACCTTTTAATTACATGAATGGAAAAATCTTGGAAAGATTTCAATGGGAACAATATGGGCACTAGATGGCCCAATTATCCCAGCCTGGATTGATCCCAGTCTTGGGTCCCCAGACGTTCTTGGACTACAACTCCCAGAAATCCTGGCCAGTAAAGGTAGTGGTGAAGGCTTTTGGAGTGTCAGTCCAAGAACATCCAGAGACCCAAGGTTGGGAACCAGTGCTCTAGATCATATTAAACGGGGCTTTTTTTAGTTGTTGCATGTCATCTAGCGTGATCCTAGCATCCACATGCAAGGATCAACAACACTGCCTCTCAAGTGACTCTGTTAAGCATAATCTGGATGAGTGGTTCACAGTCATGGGTCCCCAAATGTTCTTGGACTACAACTTCTAGATATCGTGGCCAGCACAGTGGTGAAGGCTTCTGGGAGTCTTAGTCCAAGAACATCTAGGGACCCAAGATTGGGAACCAGTGATCTAGACCAATCATCCTTCCCTTTAAAGAGAAAGTAAAACAAAAACAAAAATCCTCCTCCAGTGTCCTCTTTTACACCTTCACTTAGCTGCTTGACAATTTTCAGAAACTGAAAGCTTCTTTTCCACTTGCCTGTAGAGGAGAAGTGAGAGGAAGTTTTCCATTTAGTTGTTGATAATGCTGATATGGTCAGCAACAACTAAAATGAAATAGAAAACATCCAATCCCTTCCTTTCTGCAGGTGAGTGGCTAGGAAGCTTCACATTTCTCAAAATCATTAAGCAGCTTCAGCAAAGGGATAGGCAGGCAGCTGCTTTGCTTCAATCCCAGCAATCACACTTGCTGGAAATGAAGTTATCCTTCCTAAATTTAAAAAAAGTAGACTCTGACAGGGACCTTAAAAAGGTATCAACCAGGACAAGCTGGTTCGTAGTACCATGTGCATCATGTGGTTGCCAGAAGAAGGAGCAAACCATCCCATCTCCAACCCCAACAAAAAACTATGGGACAAATGCCCATGTGATTGCACCCAATATCCTCTTCTAAAATTACAGACACGTGCAAACACGTTGATAACAATAACCATCAGAATACAAACAGGTACATTTATCTGTTTATTTATCTATCCATCTGATCCCTTCTCTCAAAAAGGGTTCCACAGTGACTCAGATCATGTCTGAACATGTTAAACTGTAAGATTAAACCATAAGCCCATTCTAATGTTGTTGTTGTTGTTGTTTAGTTGTTAAGTCGTATCCGACTCTTCGTGACCCCATGGACCAGAGCTCGCCAGGCCCTCTTGTGTTAAATTGAGTTAAAAGACTTCTAAAATACACATCCTCAACAAATACACAGATAAATAAATATACAGAAATCTGGAACAAGGAGTACTCCTTTCCAAATGAATCACGTAATATATGAAATTCAGCTAAATCAATGGACTGCAAAAGCAAACCAGCTGAATGGGCCGTGGCCCCTGTTGTTATAGTAACTAAAGGCATGCCAGCAGCATGTGCCTTTGTATTCTCTCTCCTTTTGTTCCTTGTAAGAGTGGTCTGAATACTTAATGTCACATCAGTAAGAGCCTGAGAAACAGTGTAAGAGGGAGAAAGGTGACTGGTTATCTCAAATGCTCAGAACAAAACCAGAAGCCAATTTAACTCATCTCTCCTCTTCTGTATGACAGGGTGAGCAACTATGGCTCTATAGATGTTTCTGGATCACAACTCCCATAATTATTTACCAATAACAGTGAGTACTGCCTCTGGAAGTTAGTAAGCCAAATCATCAGGGGAGCATTATTATTATATTAAATATTATGTTATTGGTCACTGAAATTTACTAACCAAGCAGAAACTAGCATTCACTTCCATTTCTGGTTATAGATATTGTCAGATAATCCAATTTTAATTTAAGGTTCCACATGTAACCTCTCCTTCACTTTACAAAATAAAAGTGAACTGAGGTGCAAAAGCCCTTTAGCCACTCACTCACAGAATTAAGTTTAATTGTACTTAAAAAAAAAAAAGAATTGCAGCAGTTTTAAAAAATCATCAATAAAGTTTAAGGTTGTCCTTCTCTTTAATTTAGGTTGAGATTTCAGCTGCTTCTATCTTAATAATTTATAAGCAGGAGAATTACACTGTACCTTCTGCCCATCATCACTCTTGTGCTGCCATTTTGCATTATGGCCTAGCCTTATCCTGCTGCCCCATATGCTGCAAATCGACAATGATATCAAGTCTGCCACCCAGCACTGCTAAATCCAAGAAACTAGAAAAGCTACATGAGTACCCAGCTCGCTGGGGGGGCAATGTGTAGTCTGCATAATTAAATTGTAAACCGCACAGAGAGTGCTTGAAGCGCTATGGGGCGGTATATAAGCAGCACGCTTAAGCAGCACGCTTTTAAGTGCGAGAATTCTGGAAGCTAGTCCAAAAAGCTTCTTAAAAAGCAACTTTTTTCTAAGCTCTGCTTAATGTGCATGCGTCTACATACATACACATAGTAACCAGTCAGACATGAAAGGAATACAGATTATATAAATTGATAAAACAAAAACAAGGAGAGAGACTGGAACCTTGCAGCTGCCTGACTCTTCCACAACATCACTAAACACCTTCTGTGGTAAAGAGCCAATGTGCTGTAAGAGAAGGGAAGCCCCAAATTTAGCCATGAAGCTCCGTGAGTGAACTTGAGCCAGCCACCAATCCTCAGCCTACTTTACTGTGCAAGGATAAAATGAGGTGGGGAGGCCGAGTCTGTTTCCTGCCTTCAAAGATGGAATATAAACCACTTAAAATGTTTTCTTAAAGCATCTACCTCTGCTTATCAGCTGTGAGGATGGAAACCATATTTTGTGCAAATCGTACCTCTGATTCTGTATTCACATTCCGTGTTGTGACTCCCACTGTGTATATTCCACCTGCTGAGTCTTCATGGATTTTAATATTGGACTTTTTGTTCTTTGAATCAATGTCACGTGTTGTATCAAAGAGATCAAGTACTTCTTCATTGTAAAGCTAATTCAAAAGAAAAAAAAACAATACATGCAAAAAAAGTTAACAATTAAGTTGCCTAAATGGACCAGGCACCATTCAAAATTATGATTAATCTACAATTATAAAACTTGTAAATGAAGTTGCACAAAATGCTTTCACCATGTTGTGATGGAAGTGGGGAAATATCCATACTAAAGGGGCTGGTGTATATTTCGGGGGATGGAAAGGTCAGACCACTGTCACAATCAAATGTTTACCGAAGATTATGGGCCACTGCCTAGGTTCCCAAAGTGTGCACCGTAGCGCTGTGGCCCTTGTGGCTCCCCAATGCACCACCCAAGCCAGCCAAGAGCAAAGCGGGAGCCCTCGATGGTGGGGTGGGGTGCTGCTCTTCCAGGTCCAGGTCCAGGTCCAGCTCCTTCGGGCTTCTCTGCTTCCTGCTCCACCCCACACTCCTTCCTGCTCCTCCTGCTCTGCCACCACTGGTGCCAATCAGGGAAGCTGCAAGTCCAAAAAGTTTGGGAACCACTGGGCTGATACGGTGTTTTAATGGTTTATTATTCAACTTGCTTTTCACTTGTTTTAACTTATTTCTAGTAATATTTATAAACTGCCCTGAATGCTATTCTTTAGTTAACAGAAATAAATAAATAACCCTGACCCAGTTCTGGTCAGTCAACAATATCGCTGCTCATATTTCTTGGGCATTTTACTCAACTGCACTGTTTGTGAATGAAACCCGGAACACAAAATACAATACTCATTACCTCTCTCCGTCTTGATTTCCTATATGTTCTCATATCTCCACACCCCACCCAGAACCCATCCACTCCTAAATTAACTAGCAGAAAGCTGGTATGATCCAGTTTATTTCAAATGCTACCCAACAAATGCATTACACTTTGCCCTGCTAATATTTTGAGGGGAAAAGAGACATGGAACTAGGGTGGCCACTGCTCCATTCCAAAAAGGAATGTGTGGAAGAGGGAAAAGGGCTCTTCTTTGCCACATGACAGTTTATTTATTTGATTAATTAATTTATATGCCGCCCACACGACCCAAAGGGCCACCTGTCTTCCCCCCCCCCCAAAATCTTTGTATCTTAGAATGTGTTTCTTAATTAATTAATTAATATGCCGCCCACACAACCCAAAGGGCCACCTGTCTTCCCCCCCCAAAAAAATCTTTGTATCTTAGAATGTGTTTTATGATTTTTAAGAATTATCCTTTACTTTTTGTACACTGCCCAGAGTAGCAATTTGCTAGATAGGTGGTATAAGTACACTGCCCAGAGTAGCAATTTGCTAGGTAGGTGGTATAAAACATGAATGAATGAATGAATGAATGAATGAATGAATGAATGAATGAATGAATGAATGAATGAATGAATGAATGAATGAATGAGGAAGATGACAGACATCACCAAAGAGGAGGGCATTTTTGCATTAAAGTTACATATGCTAATTTAAAGTAGTAGATGTAAATATCACAATTAGGCATTATCAATAAAATTTAACAGGAACCTTGTTGCATTGTACAAGATTGTAATTAGGTCCCCACATTTAGCATGGAGAGAAAGATGTAAAGTGAATAAGGCACAGTGTTTAGTAACTTTCTGAAATGTCGTGTACCTTGTATTTTCTGCAGTTTACTGAAAATGAGTATGTATGAAAAAATAAAACAAAGGCTCTGCGGTTGTTGAAATATATTGCAATCAGTTATTTTTTAGAGGTATGATCTGAATAGTGCTTTCAGAATTTCCACATCTGGGACTGACCTCACATTTGAAATTCATATAGAATTGACAAGACTTGCCATGTCCTTCCTGCCATTCATCAGTAATTATTATCAGTGTGTGTTGTTTGAGCTTTGTTTGTTTGTTTTAACAAAATGACACCCTCCAAACCATTTTACTTTAAAAACTAGACAGGGCTTATAAGATCTACAGAGATTTCTTAACTTATTGCAATTTGCCACTAAAAGTTATGCCTTTTGTGGAATTGCACAACAGGATTTCAGCCAGTAAATACTTTCTAAGCATGTCTGCAATAAAGGGAGAAAAACAGAACAAGTCAGTAATAGTCAGTGTTAAGAACAGTTTGCGCCTGTAACAGGAAGATGTTATGGTTAAAGAGGTACATAGAAAAAAGAGGTTACTCTCTGTAACTCTGGTTCTTCGAGTGGTCATCTGTGAATTCACACTAATGGATTAATCTACACCTGCTCAGAGCTGCCGTGGAACTTTCCAAAGCTCCAGCACATGGTGCCGGTCTTTAAGGTCAAAAGGCAGTCTGATGCTGAAACTAAGGGTTTAAATAGAGGCTTCAAAGGCCGATTGAGAACACGCTGGAGTGACCACTGTGGCGTGAGAGGCTTGTAGGCCGGGTGCATGTACCTTAGCCCCTGCAAAAACTGTTTCAAGGTGGGGTGTCGAAACAGCGCAGCTGCAGGAGAGGAAGGTGACTGATGGGCCACTATGGCAGCCATAAACACCTTTAAAGTCGAGTGGGAGAGACCACACTGAAACAAGTGAAGAAGAAACTGAAGGACTGTGTCAAGAAATGTTGGGCTGACAGGTAAGTGACAGACTGATGTAAACGCACAGAAAGCTTTCCACTGTAGGTGTATGTCAAGGAGGTGGAGCACCTACGTGCCAGAGTGAGAACCTCTGCTATAGTCGGGGAAGCCTCCACGGCGTCAGGTGGAGAGACTCCAGGTCTGGATGAAAATTTTGCCTTGGTCCTGAATCAGCAGGTAGGGAACAGGTGCCAGCCGGATGTAACCCAATGCCCTGTCACAGAACACGGAGAACCATGGCTGGCGGGGCCACCAGGGGGCTATGAGAATGGCATCTACATTGTCTTGCCGAATCTTTATAATGGTTCTCTGCAGAAGTGGAATGGGAGGGAACATGTAGAGCAGGTGTGAAGTCCATCCTATCATAAAGGCATCCCGCAGGGAGAGGTGGCCTACCCCAGACCTCGAGCAGTAATTCTTGCACTTCCTGTTGTCCTGAGATGCAAAGACATCCAACTGCACAGTGCCCATCGATGGCAAAGCTGGTGAAAGATGGTGTTGTCTAAAGTCCACTCATGGGAACAGGACTGGAGCCTGCTGAGGTGGTCCACCAAAGCATTCCCCTCACCTGCCATGTGGACTGCCACCGGGTAGATGTGGCGAACAAAGGACTACTCCCACAAGTCAACAGCCAAGTACAGCAGCTGGAGCGAGTAGGTGACCCCCTTGCTTGTTGATATAAAACAATGCCATCATGTTGTCTGCCGCAACCTGGATGGGAACAGGACTGGAGCCTGCTGAGGTGGTCCACCAAAGCATTCCCCTCACCTGCCATGTGGACTGCCACCGGGTAGATGTGGCAAACAAAGGACTACTCCCACAAGTCAACAGCCAAGTACAGCAGCTGGAGCGAGTAGGTGACCCCCTTGCTTGTTGATATAAAACACTGCCATCATGTTGTCTGCCGCAACCTGGACCACCTGACTGACTAAGAGAGTCTTGAACGCTCGAAACACCTTGGTAATTGCCAGGAGCTCCAGCTGGTTGATGAGAAGATGCGCCTCCATCGAAGACTAATGGCCATGGATCGTTTGAGAGCCCAAATGAGCACCCCAGCCTGTTGGGCTGACATCTGTAGTTATTTGAAGGGACGGGGACAGTTGGCCAAAGGGTCTTCCTATCACCAGATTTGATGGGAGATTCCACAAAGCCAATTGAGTGGCCAATTCAGGCGTGACCTGTAAACACTTGGTCGGTAATCTAGTGCCAATGAGAACAGTGAAAGGAGCCAAGCTTGCAGTGACCTCATTTTTAGGCGGGTATGCTGCACCACAGCTGTGGTGGATGCCATGAGGCCAAGCAGTTGCTCCTATATAAGCCACTCTCTGGGTAGGACACAATGTTGATGTGTCCACATTGACCTTCAGGCCTAGGGTTGACAGCAGAGATAGTGTTAGCGCTGTATGCCTTTCTGCCTGCGACTCGGACTGTGCTACCAGTAGCCAGTCATCCAAATAAGGAAACACCGTGATGCCTTGAAGACGCAAATGTGCTACCACAGGAGCCAGACACTTGGTGAACACCCGAAGGGCAGTAGACCATCCAAAGGGAAGGGCCTTGAACTTATATGTTACTCCTCCAACTGAAAACCTGAGAAATCACCTGTGATCTGATCTGATGCTAATATGAAAATAAGCATCCTTCAAATCTAGAACTATAACCAGTCACCGTGATGAAGCATGTGAATGGTGGCCTCCAAAGAGACCATATAAAATTGCCAAGGAGCAATATACCAGTTCAAGTTGCACAGATCAAGTATGGGGCAGAGCCCCCCATCCTTCTTTAGGATAGTGAAATATCCAGAATAAAATCCCAATGACGCATCAGAATGATGCAAATGGATGATAGCATCCTTCTGGAGTAGGGCCCGTATCTCGTCTTCCAAAGAAGGGGGGGAGGACATAAAGTGGCCCATGATAGGGTAAATATCAAATTCAATGGCGTAGCCCCTGGCTACGAGGGGGGCATTAATACCAGATAAGAAATTAAATCCAGACATGAAACAGCTACTCCTGGTCAGTTAAAAATCAGACCAGAGAACAGTGATGCAGCCTATGCTGGATGGAGTTACTCTCCTGAAGAAACAAGTTTGCAGTCTGGAAGTACTTTTGGATTTGGATATGAACCTAGATTCTCAAGGCTAAGTTATGTCAAGGAGTACATCTGCATAGCCAAAGTTGGTCTGACAATTGTGTCCATTCCTAAAATTGTCTTGATTTGATCATAGTGATGCATGTCTTAGTTATACCTCATTAGAACTGAGATCCATGCAGGAACTTATTATCATGTGGTGGACATGCGAAAAGGTCAAAAATTATTGGACACAGGTATGGGACGTAGCAAAAGAAATTACCCAGCAGAAATTAGATATAAAACCCGAAATGGCATTATTGAATGTCATATCAGGTATTAATGATAATAAATTGAAACATTGTCTTATATATATACTTTTGAAGACTGTTTATCTAATTTAAAATGCTGTGAGTAGATAACTGACTAAGGCTGATTGTAGGGAGCATATAACTCTCCTAATACAAAGCTTGGCTACCACCAATCCAGAGATAGTTCAGACTTGGGAAATGACAAGAATTCTAAAGCATTTTGCAATCATCAGTTGCACACACTGGTAAAGTAAAAATGATTTTTTACAGAACGTTATTTTTTGTGTTTTTGCTTACAAACTGCTAGTTCCTCCACCCCCTAAATAGCAACTGATTAACTCTCAAAGCGTCAGAAAGCAAAGTCCAAATTAAGGGGAGTCAAAGGGCATAGTTTTTATATTCTGAGCAGCTTGCAAGCCTTTACGTTTCTTTACAATAGATAAATATTAGCTAGAAAGTTTTAACATGGGACGTGGTGGCGCCCATGTTTTAACACAATATTTGTATTTAAACACATTAAGCACTTGCTAACCCAGCTCCATAATAAATCTACTCTAACTAATATTTTTGCAGAAATGCAGCTGCGTCAGAAGCTACACACATTAGGCACCTGTAACACATTAGTCATCTGTAACATTAGCTAGCTCAGTAGCTCTGTAAATTAGGCAGTGTGGAGCCAGATGATGGGAGTTCAATTCCTCACGATGCATCTCAGGAGAGCCAGCCCGTGTAGCCTTGGGAAAACTGCACAGTTCCAGAATGCCCCCAGAAGAAAGCAACAGTAAACCATTTCTGAGTACGTGCTACCTAGAAAACCCTAAAAAGGATTGCCATTAGGCAGAATTGTCTTGAGAGTACACAGTTGTTATTATTAACAAAAATATTATTTGTTATTGTTATTGTCAACTCCAGAAGGTATTTAAAACCTGGCTTACTTTAGAAATTTCTAAATGTGGACTTGGAGAACAGGTTTACTGGCTTCATTCAACTACTCTGTCATATTAAAATAGAGGTAACCATACTAATAAAATAGTTTTCTTTGACTCTAAAACAGACACTAAGCAGAATCCAACTAGCCTGAGTGCAATGGTGTAGATCGCAATGGCAAATTGCTCTTAACTAATGAGCTGTATACCTCAGTTCAATTATCAATCCAAACGAAGAGTGAAGAAATCAGAAGAAGACTTGGAATGACAGCAATGAAGGAACTAAAAAAAGATCATCAAATGTAAGGATGTGTCATTGAACACTACAACCAACATCATCCACACTATTGTATTTCTGATTACTAATTAAACGTGTGAAAGGTGGACAGTGAAAGAGACTGACAGGAAAAATTGATTATTTCAAATACAGTGCTAGAGAAGAGCTTTGTAGATACCCTTCACAGCCAGAAAGATGAACATGACCAAATCAAGTCTGAGCTACCTCTGAAGGCAAAAATGACAAAAATCACAGTTTGGGCACATCACCAAAGACAGTATTCTACAGAAAAAAAGACAACAATGCTGGCAAAGGTTGAAGGAGAAACAGGAAGTCCAAATAAAAGATGAACCAGTTCCCTAAAAGAAGCCACAAGCTTGTGTTTACAATAGCAGAGCAGGGCTGTTGAGGACATTCTGAAGTTCATTTATAGGTCACCATAGGTCAGGGGCAACTTGACACGTATAACAACAATGACAAGCTGCCACTTGTATCACTTACCATGTGTCAACCCATGTCACTGGAATATGATGAGGTATACACAAGCAGTGACTTGCTAACAAGCAACAATTCACTGCTGCAGTTTATACCACTACATGTGCACCAACATAACTAAACAGTAAGATCCTGGCCATTATTGATCACCAGAGTGAAAACTAAGGGGGAAGTCCTCAGCGTGTTACAGTATATGGCTCAAGTTTGTAAGAGTGTCATTTACATTCCTCCACAAAGCTTTATGAGACCCAAAGCAATATAATATTTACTGCATGTTTACTGAACAAACATTATGCTGTTGTTATTGTTTAGTCATTTAGTCGTGTCTGACTCTTCGTGACTCCCAGAGCACACCAGGCCCTCCCCTCTTCCACTGCCTCCCGGAGTTGGGTCAAATTCATGTTGGTAGC